GTCCCAGGACTCCGGGAATCTGCGACACCTAGGAATACGGCCGCTGTCGATCACCAGCGGGGGACAGGTGCCCAACACGTCCACCCTCCACCCAGGTGACTGTCGCACACGTACACGTTCAGTCCAAACTCACGAGCCTGTTTCTAGTGTGCCCGGCCCAGGGGGACCCTTGCCTTGTCATCCAGACCCCTGCACCCCTGTCCCGGATGCTCCTGGTGGATGACATTGTGTGCACCCTACATGCCCCCCATGCTCCACCTGATGACATCATCCAGAACCCACACTCCATACTCCACATATGACATCATCCAACCCCACACCCTATGCTTTGTGCAATCACACCACCCAACCCTGCCCCAATGCTCTGCATGAGGTGACCTGACTCCATGACCCCAACCTTCATGTGGAGGACATCCAGGACCCTGAACCTCTATGTGATGATGTCATCCGACTGCTGGCCCTGATGTTCATGAGATGACATTACCCGATACCAACCCAAATCACCCACCCCACCTCCACCCCATGCTCCACCTTTGAGGGGCGGGCCTCGCTGGCTGCAGAATCACACATTAGCCTCTATGTCCAGTGTCCAGGGCTATGGCATGTGTCAGGCGACCTGAGAGCAGGGGCTAGTGTGACTTTGGGGTGCCCCATGTGAACAGGGCACTCTGGCTTCTGTGACATCAGGAGGCCAAGGTGGCAGCCTGATAGGAGCAGTGGCCCTTTCAGCTCTGAAATTCCCAAACCACTGTGCACTGTGCTCACAGGACGTTACCTCCCCAGAAAACTCTGTATGCAAACAAGGGTTATGGTTTATTACATGTCATATAAAATCTGTGACGAGGGCAGTGAGATGATAGGGGTCACCCAAACCACATTCCCGAAGAGCTGGTGTTTCAGTGAGCAAGGGGCTGTGACACACGGGTGTCCTGCTAGCGGCTCCTAACCAGGCCACGCCCGTGCACCTGCCACGGTCCACATATGGTGGTCCACAGTCAGCATGCCAGGGTCAGCACACAGTGGTCAAGATGGCCATGGTCAGCACAGCCAAGGTCAGCATGCAGTGGTCAGCACAGCCTTGGTCAGTACGCAGCAGTCATTACACAGTGGTCAGCACGTGGTAGTCAGCAGGGCCACGGTCAGCACAGCCATGGTCAGGACAAGGCAGTCAGCACAAGGGCAGTCCACACCGTCCTTTCTAATGGCTTCAACTAACACACTGAGGCAAGTAAGAGAGACAACCTCCCAGACCCTAGTTTGGAATAATTTGCTTGAACAGTCATGCACAAACACCCCACAGCATCTTTTCCATGTTTGCCAATGGATCCCTTGGGACATTTTCCTGATGGAGCCCTGCATGCACATTTCGGGGAACTCAGCTGCCCTGGGGCACATGCGGCAGGTTGATGCTATCTGCCACCACACACGGCCAGTGGCACTTTGTGCTCCTCTCACGGAGCGTCCACCTATGCCTCTTCCCATTTCCCCTCCAAGATGGAGTCTTTTTTATAGCAACCTGGATTTGAGGATATTAGGAGTTTATTTACCATGTGAGCTGCCAATATTTTCCCGTCTTCGTTTGACTTTTCTGTTTTAAAGACAAATCAACATGTAATGTATTCCAGGGAAAAGAGAAAAATTACATTCTTCCAAGTAAAGAAGACACAGAACACGGGAGGGTCAGGAAGCAGCAGAACGAGGGCAGATTTACACCCAAGTACTTTACATGAAATAACGTGGACAGAAATCTCCAGTGAGGACACAAGGAACTGTAAATGGGGCAGCAAACATCCAACTTTATTTCCAGGAGACCCAATAAAAACACAAAGATACATTAATGTTAAGATAAAAGGACAAAAAAAAAAGATAAAAGGACAAAAACACGTAACACGCCAATACTCACCTAATAAAGGTGGTGTGGCCGAAGTAAGAAAAGCAAAACAGACCCGAAAGTAAAATGTTTTCTAGAGACAAACGTAATAGAGACACAACTGTAAGAGGTTCTGTCCGATGGAAGGCACGGCTGTCTCAAGTCGCATGATACTAACAGCAGAGCCTCACATGTCCTTTAAAATGGGGAACCAGAGGAGAGAGAGCTTGGTGGTAAAGCACCCCAACCCACACTGGGTGCCTGGGCGACTCCTGCTGGCTTCTGCACCCCACCTGCAGATGTCACCCCTACAGGGGCACCCGAGGTGCACAGCAGCCAGCCGCAGAACAGACCTCAAGCAAGTCCTGATCCACAGATTCCCAAGGACCGAATCCTACAGAGAATGTTTCCCTGCACTGGGCCACCACTAACTACACACTTACAGTTACACCTGAGTGGTAACAAAATACAACCTCTCAAAACAAGGGGGTGTGGTTAAAGCAGAGATTAGAGGAACTTCAGAGCAGTAAATGCTTAGAAGGGGACAGCTGAAAATAACATAAACCTGCCACCTCAAGAACTTAGGAGAACCTCCAAATAAACAGCAAGAACAAAGAAATCAAAGATAACAAGAAGTTAATCAAACAAAATCCAAAACACAACCAAGCAGATGGACAACCACAGATTGCTAAGTGGTTGATGAACCTCAGGTGAAAAAAAAACAGGGAAAAACCAAAAAGGCACACATATGGGGGATCCCCGGGTGGCTCAGTGGTTTGGTGCCTGCCTTGGCCCAGGGTGTGACCCTGGAGTCCCGGGATGGAGTCCCATGTCGAGCCCCCTGCATGGAGCCTGCTTCTCCCTCTGCCTGTGTCTCTGCCTCTGTGTGTCTCTCATAAATAAATGAATAAAATCTTTTAAAAAATGGTATATGTAATCCTGAGGTGGGGAAACCACTGCAGATCCTAAAACACCAACCAGATCTCAAGAAAGCACTCTCAACAGCATTATGCCAGGACCTTGGAGAACCTGGGTAAAATGCCTAGACATGTAGAAAGCACAGAGCACAGTAGGGCCAGCTTACAAGACGTGAATGCACTAGAAGCTCTGGGGACATCAACTCCACTAGCACCTCCCCCAGCACAGAGCCCAGCCCACAGGACTTGCTGAGAGCCCATCGGCCAATCGGTCACAGCAAGCTGGCGCCTTCTCTTCAGAGAGCGGAAACGCGGGGCCTCTCCCCAGCTCCAGGGAGCACAGCCCTGACCTGGCCAGAACTCAGGACAGAGGAGGGGAGATGCCTCACAAGCCTCACCCAAGCCTGAGCTTCGGTGCACAAGTCCCGCACCACAGGCCGAGGTGCCGGAGGACTGCAGACCAGCAGTGAGTCGGGCCCCTCCTGGCAGAGAAATGGTTTCCCTTTAGAAAGTCAGAGTAGGGGATCCCTGGGTGGCACAGCGGTTTGGCGCCTGCCTTTGGCCCAGGGCGCGATCCTGGAGACCCGGGATCGAATCCCACGTCGGGCTCCCGGTGCATGGAGCCTGCTTCTCCCTCTGCCTGTGTCTCTGCCTCTCTCTCTGTGACTATCATAAATAAATAAAAATTCAAAAAAAAAATCTCTAAAAAAAAAAAAGTCAGAGTAGGCCGGAGGGTGGGGGTGAATGGGTGACGGGCACTGAGGGGGGCACTTGACGGTATGATCACTGGGTGTTATTCTGTATGTTGGTAAATTGAACACCAATAAAAAATAAATTTATTATTACAAAAAAAAGCCAAAAAAAGGAAATCAGAGTAACTCACCAGGTCATGTATTGAATGGAGAAAAGCTGGGCATCCCTACAGATGAAGAGTATAAGCTTCATATCTCAGCCAACTGGACTAAGGGCCCACCTGCACCGGCAGCTCAGCCTGGGGTCCTCCCTCCCACGGACATCCCAGCTGCCCCCCGCCCTCAATTGCCGCCAGTCCCAGGCTGTGCCAGCCGGGTTCCCTTCCTGGTGGGCGCCATGCCACCCAGAGCAGCTCAGAAGGGTCTCCAAAGCAACTGGACTCCAAGGCTTGGGTTTCCCTCCAATGTTCATCCTGCTCCCGCTCCACCCTGATGACCCTGCCAGTCCCATCCAGCTCACTCCACACCTGCCCCGTGACCCCAGGGTCCCTTGGCCTCTTGCCTCCCCACGCCCACCCCCTTCCCCTACACTTGCTCAGAGGCCTTTCTGCCAGGAGTCTCATGAGGAACCACTGTGAGCTCCCAGGTGTGCACAGGGTGTGAACAGGTACGTACAGGCGGCAGGCCCCACCCACCGCCCCTTCAGCCCCACAAGGGGTCCAGGAGGGGCTCTGCATTCCCCTCAGGACAGGTGACCTGACTGCTTGTGCACAGGACTCCACTATTCTAGGCTAGTGATGCTCTTTACTGTTTCCAGCTCCCAGGACTGAAGAGAAAAGTTGCACATCCTTCTGATAACGTCTCAGTCAGGTAATCTGTTCTTCCATCTAGAATACTTTTCTCTACCCTCTTAAGTTGGGAGCTTAAATTTTGTCATAATGAGAACATACCTGGGCATGCCTCCTCGCTGGTCATGCTGTGCTGTGGTGTTCCCGGAAGGGCAGGCTTTCCTCCAGTCTCCTTCCTCACCATCACTGCCTCCTCGGAGACCCCACATACCACAGGTCAGGGCTCGCGGGCGCTCTATGCAGCCTCACTTCCCTTCCCTCCAAAGTCGTCCCACTACTTGTGTTAGGAATCCTTACTACTCTATACGCGCACTGCCCTCTGGCCTGCATGTGACTGTGAATACCTCCCAGCAGGTGCTTCCTGGGCATTAAGACTCCATATCTCAGCCCAACAAGAGGACAGAAGGGGAGCCTGGCCGCAGGAAAGCAGCCAAAGAGGAGGCCTGAGCCTGGCACCGACTGCTAGGGGAGCCCTAAGGCTGATGAACCACCATGTTTTCATAAAACCTCTCCCCTCTCACCCCTCAGCTACTCCATGTGGTTGTACGGAGTAAAGCAAGTGCTCAGAGCACCCAACACACACCCCGGAGGAGGACCCCACTTCAGCCTGCGCTCTACATGAACGTTCATTTTCTGAAGTCCGTTCTTTGAAAGAAGCACACAGCTGCCCATCCTGGATACAACACTCTTTATTCGGCACCAGCGGTGCCCCAGGAACAGCGAGAAGCCCTTCACCTGTGGGGTGTGTGCACCCAGCTGCCTGCAGGCCCCCGGGGCCGGGATGCATGGCTGCTCTAGTGATGGTGATGTTTGAACTGCAGTCCACAATAGCCGCACGTCCCCGTTTTTGTTTCTTTGTCCTGAAAAGATTCAAGAAGAAAGATCTCATTTCTATACTGTGCTTCCAATCTAAACAGGTTCAGACACTAGACAAGAAGTCATGCACAGAACCTGAAATACAATGTCAACTAGAAATGGCTCAAAACCTCTGAGGTCGCTACTGAACTGAGAACCGTCAGGGCACCAGAGGCCCAGGTCTGACTGGCTCCACTCGCCCTTGCCAGCAGCTGTGGGCAGTGGCCTGTGAACCCCAGCTGCAGCTCCAGCTCCCGGACCAGAACATGTGGTCATCTCAAAGGACTGCTGCCAGGACAAGGATTAGCGAGCAGTCACTCCTGGCCTTAGCTCAGGAGGGCCGAGGTTCACCCTGAGCCCAGAATTCAATAGACTGGAGCAGCAGGTAGGGTGCTAAGCAAAGGCCTGCCACCCCCAGGCCAGCAGCAGATAGGGCGCTAGGGTGCTGCTGGTTCCCTCCCCTCCATCAAGGCCGCAGCAGGCTGAGCCTCAGCCCCCACTCCCCCTCGTGCTCTGACGCCCTGGGACCTCTCTGCTCCAAGGCTGTGTGTGTGCAGGGGCACCCAAATGAGGCTCCAGGCAGACAGAACCCACGTGTGTGGAAGGAAGTGGCCGGTCTGTCCCTGCTGGTAACGCTAAAAACATCACACAGCACCTCATGGCACGTCCCAGGCAAAAGGGTGCCCTTCACCCAATCTGCCCGCGTGGTCAGTGGGAAAGATCATATGGGCGAGCATGCAGTCAGTCTGCACAAGAGCCACTCGGAACGAGACCACTTAGACTAGGGCAGCAAGGACAGGTGACACGGTACCAGGTTTATGTACACTTTCGGGTGGCCAAGAGCCCCCCCGCCACCGTCGCACGAGATCACACGACTTTCAACTTCACTCACAGGCTGCTCAGCTATCAAATCAATGGCAAAGTTTTCATTCACCTGGAACAAGAGAAAAAGAAAAAGTTGTGCAGCCAAGGACAAAGGCTTGGTCATTTTAGGAAATTTAAGTGTCTATAGACAACAACCCCACACTCTCAGGTCCCACCAGCACACACATGTTCCATGCATCTCCTCCATCCTCATCTAGTATTGCTGGACATTTCAAGACACACATGTAATTTAACAGGCGCACGCGTGCGCGCACACACACACACACACACACACACACACAAATTTAACATTCCTTTTCTTTTTTAGAATATTTTATGTAGGGATTCCTGGGTGGTGCAGCGGTTTGGCGCCTGCCTTTGGCCCGGGGCGCGATCCTGGAGACCCGGGATCGAATCCCACGTCGGGCTCCCGGTGCATGGAGCCTGTTTCTCCCTCTGCCTGTGTCTCTGCCTCTCTCTCCTCTCTCTCTCTCTCTCTCTCTCTGTGACTATCATAAACAAATAAATAAAGATTTAAAAAATAAATAAACAAAAAATTAAAAATAGAATATTTTATGTATTCATGAAACACAAACAGAGAGAGAGGCAGAGGGAGAAGCTGGTTCCCTGCGGAGCAGGAGCCCAATGAGGGGCTCAATCCCAGGACCCTGGGATCATAACCTGAGACAAAGGCAGGCACTTAGCCACCAGGCACCCACACACATTTAACTTTCCATTTGGTTAAAATTTCCAACTCATGAAAATGGTGCCAGAATCGACTACCAACATTCCTCTCTGGTCCATACCTGATTCTCAGACCAGACCACTAGCACAGTGCCCGCGGCTTCAGCACAGGCTCTGCTCCTGGCCCCGGCTCTCACTCCACCCATGGGGACACGTGAGGAGTGACACCGAGGCAGCGCCCAAGGCCGACTGTCCCCGCCAGCACCACACACGCAAGCACCAGGGCTGAGGAAATATCATAGGGTCCTCCGCAGTCACAGAGGCGAGGAAGCTCTGGCCATGTCTACACAGCTGCCAGCTTGGGGAAGCACCCAACAGGGACAATACAGGACAACACGGGACACAGGGGGGATGGTGTTGCACCCACAGGGACCAAAACCCAACGAATATGCTGAAATCTCTGATCTTGTGAATTTTAAAATTCAATAAATACTTCATTATAGGAACGACCTCCTTTTAAAAACCAGTAAAAACAAAGGGAAAGAATCGCTGTTCCTTCTACCTTCCTAGCCTCACCAAAGCGTTTTCACATTAAGACTGGAGCTGCTGGGCAGACAGCATCACCCTCAGCCCCATGTGGAGACGCTGGGCCACCACCTCACCACCCTGAGCTTCGCTGGACTTGCCCGATGGCCCCACACAGTAACCTTGCCACAAAGAAGCCAAGTTTGACGGAGCTGCTGGAGCCAGCCCAAGTTGCACACTCCCAGAAGGAGGCAGCAAACCCCATGACAGGCCCCAGTCAGGAAGACCCAGCCATGGGCAATGCCACAGGAGGAAAGGACCCGGGTCCTCTGACAAGTGAGTCAAGGAGGGAAAGGGATAGTTTGTGTGTGTTTGGGGGTAGGCAGGGGCGACACCCAAAGTGAAAACAAACTGAGACGCTACAGCAACTGCAATGCATGGAGCTCATCTGGATTTTGACTCAAGAAACATTTTTGTTTTACTATGACTCAATCAGAAGTGTTTACCACCCACTAGGTATTTAGCCTACAAGATGCTGTAATCTGTGATACTGATGCCATGGTCACATGAGCACCACCCGGAGCTCTGTAGGCACTGGTGAACTCCAGATTCCACAGAACCACAGCAGCGGCAGCCTGCTGCAAGGCCCTGGTGTTGGGGCAAGCAGGGTGCTGGTGGACCAGAGCGGACACGGGTGTGGGCGCCATGGGAAGCATCCTGGCTGGACAAAGAACAGATCTCACAATGAGCGCCTGTGGCAAACTGGGGACACCTGCCACTGCCTTGCTCATAGGTGATCTGCAGTGAGCCAGTCGCTCAGAGCCACCCCCAACCAATGCCAAGGAGACAAAGCCCAAGGCTGGGCGAGCTAGGAAAGTAAAGCATCCATGCCTGTGTGTCGAGGGAAAGGACAGAACCCAAACCACCCGGTCCCTGCGTGCCTCCCTGCCCAGTTACGGGGCCGACTCTATGTCCCAGCACGTGGGCCAGCCCATGCCAGGAGCTGCAGTGCCCTGCCCCAGAGAGCCCTGCAAATCCAGAAGGGCATCCAGAGGCATTTCCCTGCTCCAGAGGTTTGTGCTTCCTGAAGCCGGCCAGGCAATATGTCATCCCTGACCGCGCTCTTGGCCTCAGCACAGGCATGTGTCCCACACTAGGGCTCTAAGGAGCCACAGCTGATGGCACCTCTAGACCTAGCATCACCACTACCCACCCAGGGTAGAAAACAACTACAAGACCACAGCTGGAAGATCACCCGCTTCCGGAGGCTGGGGGTCATTTGAGTGGAGCACACAACAGTGGAACGAACGCCACAGAGGCGGAACATCACACTTCCCGACAGACGTCCCTGCAGCCACCACGGGGAGTGACGGCCCCGCGGAGACTAGTCAGGAAGTGCAGCCAGGGCTACTCTGCCATCTGCTTGGTGGAGGGTCAACCTCATGTGTGGGCTTAGGGGTGAGAACTGCCCAGCCGGGGGCCTGCCCTGTGTGCCCAGAGCCCCACCTACAGGCAGAGGCCTTACAGTAGTGACAACAAGGAAACAAGTTTTAGACATGGGTCAACCTTCATAAGGGCGGTGGGACCTCAGAATCTTAATAAAGCCTGGAAATAAGTTAGAAAGGCACAATCAACCTCAGTTAACAGTTTTTCTAAAGCCAGCGGACTGCGTCCAGAGGACCCGCGATCCAGCAGGGCCCCACCCCTCACTCTTCCACAGAAACAGATGGTCTCGCCTGCCATCAGCACGGACGATGCCACATGCCTCTCACAGGAGCTTAAGCCCCAAACCCACAGAATGTGGATGTTCTGGAAAAATTTAATTGTTTTTAAAAAGCTTTATAGTTAACAGACAACCAATCTTGTAAAGCTTTCCCTCCAAGTTTTGTCTCCACGAACACAGAAGTTATTGGGAAGTATAACACACCACGTGTGCAACATGGCCAGGCAGGGTGGACTTAGTGCATGGCCACACGGTGAGGCCGAGAGGTGCAGCCATGCTGTCCTACAAACTCCTCTAAGCACAGAGCCCCCCAGATGGCCTCACCGCCCCTCAACGCTGCACCTCCAGTGGGCTGTGTGCTCATTGCTGCTGCAGACACAGCCACGTGTCACAATGAAGCTTCATGGTGTAAAATAGGACGGCGTCTACCTAAGTGACAAATGTGTCACAAAGGCCACACTAACAAACCCCCAGGCTCCGTCACAGCAGTCAGACAGACCACCGTCTCCCGCGGGAAGGGCAGCTGACGCCTGAGAGTGACACAGGACTGCCCCCGTCACTCAGCACCACAGTGACCCCGACCTTCCATGATGAACGTCTCATTCCCGGGGTTCGGTTCAACCGTAAGCATACAAAGAGCCCGGGAGCAAGCAGCACCCAGTTGACTGCGGGTGACCATCAGAGCTCCGTCTTGCTGCCATCACCTAGACTAGGCCAGACCAGGAGGAGCAGCACTGGACCTTAGCAGGGAAATGAACCAGAGCAAGTCACCACATCCACGCTTCTTGCTCAGCTGGAAGCATAGTGGGTCTTTAGGCACACAGTGTGCCACACACCCGCAGCCGTCCAACAGCTGTACAGCTGTCCCCTACACATCACTAACCTAGCAATGTCAAACTACCTTCTTGTTTATCTCTTGATGGCCAATCGATTTGGGCATAAAGATATTTAGGTTTAAACTCAATTGTCAAAAAGCTGTTGTTTTTAATTTGTTTTTGGGACTGACAGTTCCTACAGAAGTTACTCCCTTATATCACACGGAGATCAAATCCATTAGAAATACAACATAAGACACTGGACTATATAAAATAGTATTTAAAACAATACACGAAGGAATAATAACCTAGTTGAGTCACCCAAGTTCTGTCGAATGCTAGCCCTGTTAATAGAAATTCACAGGTTTGGAAAGGGAATAAAGGGGAAAGGAGAAAAAAATGAGTGGGAAATATCAGAAAGGGAGACAGAACATGAGAGACTCCTAACTCTGGTAAACAAACTAGGGGTGGTAGAAAGGGAGGTGGGCGGGGGATGGGGTAACTGGGTGACGGGCACTGGGCGGGGGGGCACTTGATGGGATGAGCACTGGGTGTTATTCTATACGTTGGCAAATTGAACACCAATAAAAAATAAATTTATTAAAAAAAAAAAAGAAATTCACAGGTTTAAAAATAAAAGCCCAAACCAATTATTCAGATTATATGGTATCTTTAATACAAACACCAATATTTATATTTAGTTCTACATCTGTGTAAACATAGGTTTATATAACTTTTAAGTCATGATACAAACTGAGGTTTTCTTCCAAATTAATTTTTAACACAAGTTCAGAGAAAATGTTCAAAAATAGCACCTAGGATTTTTGTACAGCAGTGTTCACAGTTGCTCTGGGGTGACACAAGTCCAGGGGCGACCTGGCCAGTGTGGAGGAAGAGGACAGGCGCAGACATGAGGAGCATGTGGTACAAGGTCATGAAGCCACCAGGGGAGAGAGGACAGTAGACCTCAAGGCTTAGTGTCCAGGCTGCCACCATCTGAACCTTGGGCGTTAGAACCTTCGATTTTCGCCGAATCTAAAGAGTAAACAACTCTGTGAGTCCAGGGTGGGGGCTGCTTCCTGCAGCTCCAACACCCTGGGGTACCACTGCACCTCTTTGGCTCTTTCAGCTTTCCCAAACCTCCCAGGCATGTGCGTGTGCACACACCTTAACGTCACCTCGGTTCAGATGGCCTGCTGACATGTCAGTGTCAAACACCAGTCAGCAGGAGACAAAAGATGATCTGAGTCTTACTCTGCTCCTGGTCTTGGGTAACTCCCGAGAATTTTCCCAAAGCCTCTGCACAGGTACTGTGCGCCACCCCAGCACAGAAGTCACCTCGCCAGGCGAGTGGTCTGCTCTGCCACGGCTCGGAAGAAGCAAGACAAACGAGCTAATGACCAGCAAGCCCTGGGAAAAGGACACTGTTCACTCCTGGGTGGGGCCTGAGGCCAGTCTGCATTTGCCCCGTCTATAGGTTCCTCTCTTCAGCACGTGCAGTTCATGCTTTCCATCCACAACTTCCACAGAATCCTCTTCAAGCTTCACATTATTGCAACAGGACAGCAGGTAAGGTGGGCCTCGGCACCTTGGGGACTGCCCCGAGTTCACCTGAGGTTGACACCTTCAAGCTGCTACCGAAGACCAAGGGGCCCAGAGGGTGAGTCAGAGCCATTACCAGACTCGCCTACCAGCCAGGGGTCTAAGATGGGCAGGACATGTCCAGAGCACCCTTCCCTTGGACGGATGCCCACTCCTCACAAATGCTGGTGAGGGCATTCATACCTGCGCAGAGCCACCCCATCATCGTTGTGGTTCATGGATGGGCTGTGCAGAGCTGTGCTGGGTGGACCTCAGCCTCCCAGGGTTCTGGGCTCTCTGCTTAATTATGTATCTTCCAAACCTACAAATGATACCTGTCTCAGTAAGAGCAATCCTGGCAGCCGCAGAATGAGGGCACCTGTTCCCTGGTGTCTCTCATGGGCTGCCCACTGCCCTAGCAGCCTGTCCACACTGACTCAGCATCCAGAGCCCAGTGAGGTCAGGACGGCAGATCCAGAGGCAGTCAGAGCGACAATAAACACACACCCCCAGCTACAAGGTGACACAGAGGCGGCATTGCTACTGTTGTCACTGTTGTCATCATCCCTGCCATTCCTCACGGCGGTCACTTGTCCACACAAACTCTTCCATTATTGGACAGGAAACGTGGGCTTTCTATTTTATGTATATGACCTCAAAGCCAATGAAACTCTTTCTATAACCTGCAGACGAATATCTGCTCAGTTCCGGCCCCTCTGCCAGGCTGAGGTAGTCATGGACCAAGGCAGGCCTGGCTTCTGTCCCCTCTGAGGCTGGGAGCCGGGTGGCATGTTCTTCAGCACCTGACTGTCCCCTCCTGGAAGACCTGTCACAGGCCCACATGAATTCCTTCGCATACATCCTGCAAACTGTATCAGGCACCTCTGGTCAGAAGTGGCCAAGAGCCAAACACAGATACTTTCCATTTCTTCCTGCAAAGGCCAGTTCACCTCTCAAACTTCCTGCCATCCTTGTTCTCCAGATTAAGCTCAGATTCAGTTCGTTTCCTAAAATACAACTAAACGAAGCTATAGAGACAGCAAAATCAGTGGTTGTCAGAGGCTGCGGAGAGGAAGGTATGAACAGGTGGAGCACATAGAATTTTTAGGGCAGGAAAATCACTCTGTATGATCCTGTAACAGTGGACACACGGCATGCATTGTACATAACCCACATGAACATGAACATAAACCACAGTCAAGTGAGTAACATGTCAGCATCCATCAAGTTCACAGTGATCAGCTATCACACGTGTAGCACCCTGATGAAGATGTGAGCAACAGGGGGTGATATGGGAACCCTCTGCACTTCACCTACAAGTTTCCAGCATATGTAAGTACCTTCTGTAACAATGTCTTTGGGAAACCCAAACAACATTAAAATACTCCTAAATATCAAATTTTTGTCGTGAGAATGAGAGCCAGAGCAGGATTCATCATTTACAGACATACCATGCACCCGTACAACATGAACATGTGCCCCAGAGCATGAGACCCGGAGCCAGGATAAGGTTCTGGACCTGGGTGAGTGGACAGAGTGAGCTGACACTTCAGCACCTTCTCATCTAGTCACACTTCGTCTGCTTCACTGATTCTGTTTTTGTTTGTTTGTTTTTGATTTGAAGGGCCCCTCCATGCACCTGTCACCCCTCTGCCCACCTCCACCTCCACCCCCAATCCGCCCCCCTCCCCGGCTAAGGCAAACAGAAACCACTGGAGGCCACACCAAGTCTCTAGCAGAGAGGAGCTGGGGGCAGACCCAGGTGCTTGCCAAAGCATCCGAATTGCTAGGGAGCTGGGGGCCAGGCTGCATGAACCCATGTCCCCCACCCTACCCATGCCCCCGACATCCACAAAGCAGGAACAGAAGTAATTAATGAGAATTTAACAGACAATGTAACTATGATCAAAGGGAGTGGAACACATCTTACAGACAGCTGGGGATTAACAAGAAGGCTGCCCCCCCAGGAAGGAGGAACTCACCATGACTACAGAGGACGAACGGGCTCGGAAGACCGTGAGCACCGGGGACGTGGCAGTGCAGGTGACAGAGGAATCGAGAGGCGCATAGGCTCCTGTAGGAGGGCCCTTCCTCTGTGGTCAAACACAGGTGTGGGACCCACCACCCTCACTCAGGGAAGGGCAATCGTGGGCCAGCGTCAGTCCCCACAGGAACACAGCCTAGTCTGCTGGGCAGGAAATAGGACAAGCACACCCCACACGGTGACGGAAGAGTCAAAATATGATGTGACTTTAATTTGAGGGTCTCAGGAGTATAAGGCACAGAAATGAAAGAAAAGATCACTCCCGTTTATACTTACACAAGACGTCACTTAGAGGTGGGGGGGGGGGGGACAAAACACACACAGACACGGGCATTTCAGAGAAACGCGCAGCTCCAGAGCTGCTGGCGCGCTCACTGTGGGAGAATTTAAGCCCGTACACTCTTACTTCTCGGCGTCACGTCAACGTCTTACAAAGGCCCACCTCTCACCTCTTTCTGACGACCAACGAACCGAACTTTCCTATAGTCTTGATCGTCATAAACCTGGAGGCAGAAAAAGACCCCATATGACTTTACAGCCTAATTGTGAAAGGAGTCGCTCAGCCTCAGCCTCAGCCTCAGCCTCAGCCGCATGCCTTCCGCGAAAGTGTTTCTTCAGGACCTCCGGCCCTTGGTGACGAACAGGGGGACGGAGCGCAGCCGCGAGCAGGGGCTTATTCGGGCAAGGCCCGCGGGGCGACGAGGCGCAGCGACGGCGTGGGGCGGGCAGCAGGCGGAGCTGCACCCCGTGTCCTCCCCGCGCCCGCGGCAGGTCAACGCGCCCCGGGCGACTCGGTCAACAACGCGGGGCCGCTTCTCAGCTCGGGCTGCCGACTCGGCCCCAACGCCGTCCCCGCGTCGGGCCACAGCACCCCCGAGCTGTGACACTCCGGCCACGCCCCCCGCCCCCCGCCCCCCCGCCCCGGGGCGCGGGAGCCTCGGCCACCACGCCGGGCGCCGCCGGGCTCTGCAGCTGGAGGCCGAGGAGCGGGGAGCCCCCGTGGGGTCACAGCGCGAGACCCGCACACCTGGGCCCAACCCGAACCGGGCCGGCACGGGACTCGGGCCCCCGGTTCTCCGCGAGCCGAGACAGGGCGGCCTCCACGCCGCGGCGCTTACCTGGCCGGTGTGCGTGATCTTCTCCCCGGCCGGCGACGCCCGCACCCCCAAACACCTGGCGCCCCGGGGCGGGCGCAGCGCCGCTGGACCGCTCCGGCCCAGGAGCCGGCAGAAGGTCACTGCCGCCGCCGCCATCTTTGGGCTGAACCCTGACCCGGCGCGCCGGCACGCTGACGCATGCGCACGGCTCCCGCCGGCCCCCGCGGCCCGCACTTCTCGCGCAGGGGAGGCGCGCACGCGCGGTGCGCTCGGCGGGAGCCGCCGGCAGGTGCAGCGGCTGGGCCCGGGCTCGGTCCGCAAGGGGCGGCAAATCTAGGCGCACCGTTAGCCGGCAGTGCTGTTGGGTGATTCCCGCCTGGGGTGGGGCAGGGGAGGATGGAAAACGAAGGTGCAGTCTTCGCATTTGATGCTAGTTGGTAATCATGGGGTGTTCCATATCGCATGTTTTCATTCGCGAAGGGCCTTGTATAGAGGCCCTGTAAGTGCATTGCCGTTGCGCACTGCGCGTCGCTGTCCCCGCGGGAGCAGCGGGTTTCGGGATTTCTGCAGCAGAGCTCAGTGAAGCGACCCGTAAAGCACGCTCAATGTCCTCCCCAGCGCAGATCAGCCCCGAAGGCCCCCTGCTCTAGGGCACCGTAGGCCGACCCGGCTCGCAGTCCCGGCGTTTCCCTCTTCCAGCTGCCTGTCTCATAGACCGGTCAGGAGGGTCACTCACAGGAGCAGCGCCCGGATGGACAAGGGCTGTGGGCACGGGGGAGACTCAGAGCGCAGGGCTGGGGTGCCCGGACGCCGGGAGGTGTTGCTGATGAGGGACCACACGCACTGGAAACCTCTCGGGACAGAAAGATGCCCACAGACGGGCACCACGGGCAGGCCCGGAGCTGACCCCAGCGGGGATTGGGTGTGGTCAGGGTCTTGGCAGGGCCCGCAGGTGAAGGGGTGTGGTGGGGGCCCCAGCAGGTGCAGGGGTCCGATGCCCAGCGGTCGAGGCCGTGGCGGGGCGCGCAGGTGAAGGGGGGTGGTGGGGGCCCCAGCAGGTGCAGGGGTGCGGTGCCGGCCCCAGCAGGTGCAGGGGTCCGATGCCCAGCGGTCGAGGCCGTGGCGGGGCGCGCAGGTGAAGGGGGGTGGTGGGGGCCCCAGCAGGTGCAGGGGTGCGGTGCCGGCCCCAGCAGGTGCAGGGGTGCGGTACCCAGCGGTCGAGGCCGTGGCGGGGCGCGCAGGTGAAGGGGGGTGGTGGGGGCCCCAGCAGGTGCAGGGGTGCGGTGCCGGCCCCAGCAGGTGCAGGGGTGCGGTACCCAGCGGTCGAGGCCGTGGCGGGGCGCGCAGGCGGGCCGCACACGGGCGGGTCCCGACACCCGTAGGGAACAGCAGGCGTACAGACTCATTGTGGGCTCGGGCGGTGGGCAGAGGGGACTCGCCGGACTCTTTGAACTTCTCTGTTGGAAATGATCCTAACACAAGGCTGGAGGGAGGAGGTACTAAGTGCGGCAGGTAGGACCAGGGCCCGTCACCGCTTCCCTGAGCGTTGCCACACCTCTCCCAGGATGTCCACCTAATACAAGTAGCGGGTTCTTCTAGCTCTTGTTTCCACTTCGGTATCCGTCCGTGTTTTAAAAACGTCTGGTTGGCTGTGACTTCTGCATTCCAGGTATCTATTTCCCTCCCCATTCTGGCATTCCCTGAGACCCCAGGGACCGGGGGCAGGAGGGCGGCCCAGGGTGGGCGCGCAGACGCCCTGGTGACTCCGCCTCTGCGCCCGGCACTGCCGGGGCCGCCACGTGATCCTGCCGCCATTTTTCTTTCTGGCGGACGCTCCGGGCGGCGGCGTCCCTGCCCTACTGCGCAGGCGCGTGCGAGGCGCGCTGCCGGCCATCGTGGGCGCCTTCCTGCCAGGTCAGGGGTCCCGGGGGTCGCGAGGGGCCGGGGGTCGGCTACCGAGAAGGGCCGCCTGGATGCTGTCCCCTCCCGGCGGGCACATCGGGGGCCCAGCGCTTCCTGCCGCGTCCCCAGCCTTCAGGGACCGCCCGGGGGCGGGGGGCGCAGGGGGCCGGCGGAGGGGCCGAGGGCTCGCGGGGTTGGGGTAGGGGTGATGATGGAGTCTGGGACTCTCGGGGTTGGGGGCGGAGATGGGGTGAGGGTGGAGCTAAGGCTCCCAGGGATGGGGGTGGGAGTGGAGCCGGAGGCTCAAGGTAGGGGTGAGGGTGGAGGAGGTGCCCGCGGGGTAGGGGTGTGGGTGGAGCTGGGTGCTCGCGGGGATGGGGGTAGGGGTGAGGGGAGCTGAGGCTCTTGGGGGTGGGCGTAACAGTGGAGCAGGGGGCTCACGGGTTAGGGGTGGGGGTGACTGGAGGGGGGGCTCACCGGTTAGGGGTGGGGTAGGGGTAGGGGTGGAGCAGGGGGCTCACAGGGTGGGGGGGGGTAGGGGTGAGGGTGGAGCAGAAGCTCCGGAGAAGGGGGAGGTGGAGCAGGGTGCTCGCGGGGATGGGGGTAGGGGTGATGGTGGAGCGGAGGCTCCCGGGGGTGGGGGTGAGGGTGAAGCAGGGTGTTCATGGGGGTGGGGGTGACAGTGGAGTGGGGGGCTCACGGGTTAGGAGTGGGGTAGGGGTGAGGGTGGAGCAGGGGGCTCACGGGTAGGGGTGAGGGTGGTGCAGGTGGCTTAGGGGTGGGGGTAGGGGTGAGGGTGGAGCGGAGGCTCCCCGGGGGTGGGGGTGGGGGTGGGGATAAGGGAGGCCCCGGGTGGTGAAGCTCTTCATGGAGCAGGGAGGCCTTACCTGTTGCCCGTCTGCCCTCCGCAGGGTGGGCCGCAGCAGCATGGCGTCTGTGCTTGTGCGGAAGGTGCTGGTGTCAGCCCTGAGCCCGCTGCTCCGGCTGAGCCCGCACCTGGCGATGCCCCGAGCTGTCTCCACTCTCCTGCCCGGACCCTTTCGCTCTGTCGGTGCCACTGGTACGAAGTCCACGGTGTGGGGGCTCATGGGCCCCTTGCCCCTGCCCGGCCCCCTGCTGCCAGGCCTGCAGCCTGCCCTGGGGTTCAAGACCAAGGGTGTCATCAAGGAGCGCTGCCGGGACTGTTACCGCGTGAAGAGGCGAGGGCGCTGGTACATCTACTGCAAGACCAACCCAAAGCACAAGCAGCGACAGATGTAGTTCCGGTCGCTAAAATAACGTGCAAAGCTGCATCACTTCTTGGAGAAATGGTACCACCTACTGAAAGAAAAATAAAATTTACACGCGGCCTAATCTTTGTCGACTGTCCGGTCTTGACTCTAGTGCCCGTGCACCTCACCTCCTGTAGCAGCCAGGTCCAGTCAGCTAGGCCAGCCAGAGCCCAAATGGGAAACGCATTGTTCTTATCTCCTGTGCAAGCCGCTGGTACTGGGGCCGAGGGCAGAAGATAAACGGAGGAAGAGCTGGTCAGAACGCAGCCTGGTTAGGAAGAGCCCGGTTCCCTGTGCAGGACCCTCCTGGCAGGGGGAGCTCAGCCCTGGCTCTACACTCAGCCAGAGCCCTGCTTTTAATGACCTCAGATGCTTTTTCTCAGCATTCCTGTCTTGAGGATAAGTGTGAAAGCCTTGAAAGCAATTTTTAAGTCAATAATTTAATATTCTATATGTAAAGTTAATTCAGATATGAACTAAGCATGTTTGTGGTCCATGGTGAGACATGAATGTGCATGTGTATGTGGTGCGTGTGTGTGAATGTGTGCCCTGCTCACGTGTGCATGCTCATGTACACATCAATGTGGTGTGTGCGCGTGCAGGGCACCCACCTGGTGGGAGTGTGCTGAGCGGAATAGCTCTGGTACCCTGTGCAGCCAGTGGCACAAGTGTTCGTGTGTCTCCTGTCTCAGGGTTACAGCTGCCTCACCCACATGGTTTGAGCTCTACACGGTGGGCCTCCCTGGCAGCCTTCCTGCCCAGGTCACAGCTAGAGCAGGTTACAGGGCAGGACAACGGTACAGGGTGGTGAGTGTTGGTGAGCAGGATGGCCGAGGCCAGTGAAGACCTAGCACAGGGACAGCCTCCTCAATCATGCTGCTCCCTGCAAGGTGGGGTCCAGGCTGAGACCTGCAGGGCCAGGGAAAGGGAGATGCAGGGGCGACGCCAGTGAGGGGCCCAGGCAGCAGGCAGGCTGGAGGGGCCGAGCAGCACCCTCTGCACATGGAAAACTGTGGATGATCCCACAGCACGTGGGCAGCTCGGTGTGCCTTGCTCAGCCACGGCTCACCTATTCCTGACCTCAGGGCCTGACCGTGGTACCCAGGACCCCAGCACAAAGTCAGGGCAGCTCAGAAGAAGGGAAAGAAGGAAATGCCCTTCCCTGGAGCATGTTATCTTGGGCAAGGATGGGATTCTGCTGGAGTAAAGACCTTCTTTCCTCTTCATTGCCTCAGGTACTTCCCGGACCTCTGCCCTGCCCTAGTTTAGGTGTAAGCGCTCTAAGGGTAATAATTACCCATCTAGGTTTCAGAACCACTGCAAAATAGATGGGTGACATCAGGTGGTTTCTCCCCCTCAGCACTGCTGGCTCTCAGGACAGATTTTTCTCTGCACCTGGCTATCCAGGGCACTGAAGGGTGCAGCATCCTTGGCCCCCACCCTCTGGGTGCCGGGAGTACCCTCAACCCTGGTTGTGACAACCGAGACTATCTCCAGATGTGGACAGATGTGTGAGGGTCATGCCTCCTGGCAGGGTTTGTCTGAGAACTGAAGCCCAGAGCTAGGCCAACCCTGTTTCTATCCTTTGCTCTCAGTCTGCTACAAGGCCTGGTCTGTAGTAGGCATCAACAAACACATGAGGAGTCACATGACAGTAACATGAAAATGCGTCCTTATAAACAGCCTTTTGTCCTCCCACATGGTTGGAATAGGCTCATCCTATGAGGCTAGGTCCACAGCTTTCTTGTGAAGAGTTGGCAGACGGGTCCTGTCCATGGGAATGCTACCACCTCCCATATGGAAGCTTGATGCTACACTGGTCTAGGACCCACACAAACACACACACCACACAGCTTCTTTTCAGTTGTTTTCTCCTGACAGGTAGGCCGAGGTTTATACTTGTCCTTGGGAGTGGCTCTGCAGGGCTGATGGTGTCAGTGTCAGTGTCATGTATACAGGTATGTGACTCGAGATACGAAGGATAGGCGACAGTGGGTTTAGGGAGGCCATGGGGCCCTGTCCTACCTACCTACAAGCTGGAATTCTAACAGTGTTGATAAGCTTTTAAATCATCCATTCCTCCTGGGTTGATTAGTCTGATCTAAGGTGACAACCTGTGTGCTAACCAAACACCAGCTCAGGTACTTTCCAGTGTCTGGATGGACCAGCATTTACAGCCCGGAGACTCCAGCATAACAACAAACTTGGTTTAGGTCGAGAGGCAGCTGGCAAACTATTCCAGCTATGCTCTTTCATGTGTGTGTCATCTATGCTTTCTACTAGGTGAATAGTTGCTGTATGGCCTGGAAAACCTAAAAATACTTAAAATTTGAGTTACATTTGAAGAAACAGTGTGCCAGTTCCTTGTTTAGATCATTAAATAAGTTCTCATCTTACCCTCGGATTTGACTTCACAATGACCACGACCTACCAGAAACGTATCAGTTTTCCTATCATCCACACAGTGAGAAGGATTTTTATATTTGTAAATGCTAGCCATGAACAAATAGAAATTGAGATAAAAAGTGCTATTTGGGATGCTTGAGTGGCTCAGTAGTTGAGCATCTGCATTTGGCTCAGGGCATGATTCTGGAGTCCCGGAATCGAGTCCCTGATGCAGTCCCATGCAGGCTCCCTGCATGGAGCCTGCTTGCTTCTCTGCTTGTGTCTCTCCCTCTTTCTGTGTGTCTCTCATGAATACATAAAGAAAATCTTTTTAAAAAATTTTAATTACTATTTATAATAGCACCAAAACCATGAAATGTTTACATACCAATCTAATAAAACTATACACATTATATTTAAAATTACCAAACACTGTTTAAAGAATTTGAAGATCTAAATATTGAGCTATACCATGTTTATGGATCAGAATATTTGATATTGTCAATTATCTCCAAACTGAGCTATACCATGTTTATGGATTAGAATATTTGATATTGTCAATTCTCTCCAAACTGATCTACAAACTCAACGTAATCCCAGTAAAAATCCCAGCAGGAATTTTTGTACAAAATGCCATGGTTATTCAAAATTTTATATGGAGAAGCAAAGTATACAAATAGCCAAAAAATTTTAAATTCAGTTGCCTACTCTTACTTCAAAGCTTACAATGAGGCTCCAGTAGCCAAGACACTGTAGTACTAGTGCAACGGGTGAGCAGAACAGAGTTGAGGTCAGAAATAAACTCATACATAATGTGATCAAGTGCTTTTCTTTTTTTTTTAAGATTTTATTTATTTATACATGAGAAACGGAGAGAGGCAGAGACACAGGCAGAGGGAGAAGCAGGCTCCATGCAGAGAGCCCAATGCAGGACTCGATCTGTATCTCCAGGATCACGCCCTGGGCTGAAGGCACATGCTCAACCGCTGAGCTACCTGGGCATCCCTCAAGTGCTTTTCAAAATAATTAAAGGTGATTCAGTAAAGAAAGGGTAGGCTTTTGTACTATGGTGCTAGAAAATGGAGTTTCCATACACACAAAACAACTTTCATCGTATATAAAGATTAAAAATAGAACATAGACCTAAATGTAAAATTTAGTACTATAAAATCTTCTCAAGAAAACAGGAAATACATGTGACTTGGGGTTCTGCTGGTTTATCAGGTATAACACCAAAACATGCCCCATAAATGAAAGCCTTCATAAATTAGATTGCACCAACGTTGTATCCTTGAGATACTTTCATCAAAGTTCACAACTTCTCTTCAAAAGATACTGTTAACTAAATGAAAACAAGTCAAGAACTAGGAGAAAATCGTTGTAAAACACATTTCTGATAAATGAATGCATAGAATATATAAAGAAATCTCAGAACTCAATAATGAGGAAACCACAAACCCAGTTAAAAGCAGGCAAAAGATACTTCACAAAGGAACGCATACTGATGGAACATAAGCACATAAGAATGTTTAACACTGGATTTTAGTGAAAAGCAAATTAACTTCACCACAAAGTAACACCACACACTTAATGGAGTGGTTACAGAAAGAAAAAACCAAGATCCTGCAGTGATGGTAACTCACTGAAGGTGGCACAGCCGTGTTGGATTCAGCTTGGACATTTATCAAGTCAGATGATTCAATTACTAGCAGTCCCACTCGCATATTTGTCCAAGAACAATGGAAACTGATGTTCACAGTAAAACCTTTATGTGAATGTTTATGGTGGCTTTATTTATAATTAAACAAAACAACCAACTGGAAACAGCCCGTGTGCCCTTCAGCTAGGGAATAGATGAACCAAGTGTGGTGCCGTCTTACAGTGGAATACTCAGCAGCAAACAGGAAAGAAGCCACACAAATGAAAACATGACTGAACATCAGGTCCACCATCCTGACTGACAGAATTCTGCACTCAGAAAGGTACATACTTCATGATTCCAATGCTATGACATTATGGAAAAGTCCAAATAATGGGCACAGAACATCTGTTGCTAGGAGCTGGGGGTGGGGAGCACAAATTGGCTACAAAGGAACACGAAGGAGTGCTTACAGGTGATGGGATGTTCTAGATCTTGATTATGGTAGCAGTTTCATGACAACATATGCTTATAAAACTCATAGAACTTTACTTCAAAAAACCTTGCAAAAAAAAAATTCCCAAATCGAATTTCTAGATAGCAAATAAAGATTAAATAAATAAATAAAGACAAAAAAAATAAAAAAGGAACTCCGTGAGCTGTAGGGCCATATCCGGCATTCTGGCACAAATGGCACTGCTGCCCTGGGGACAGTGGAGAGAACAATAGTTGAAGAAATAGTGGGCAAAGTATTTCCACATTTGATGAAAACAATCCATAAATCCAAGAAGCTTAGCAAATCGTAATCAGAAGGAATGTAAGGAAAACCATATAATAATACATCATTATTGAATTGCTAATATCAGATAAAGAGAAAACCTAAAATACAGACAGAGAAATAAGACTCATTCCTCAGAGGGACAGAAACAGCTGCACACTTATCGGAGACCATCAGCCCAAAAGACGGTAAAACCTCTTTACGGTGCTGGGGAGAACTGCAACCTAGAAATCTACGTTCAGTGAGAACACCTCTCAAAACTGAAAATGAAAGACAAGAG